ATTCCTATTTTTTCGAATAAATTGTCAATCCTTAAAGCCTTTTGCGTCTGCTTACACAAATTTCCACGCTTGGTGGCAGGGAGTTGCTTGATAATAAAATCGTATACTCGACCCTTTGCTTTTTTCTCACCAATTCTATCATTGATCATAAAATCTTTAACCATGCTTTTGAATCTTTTAGCATAGAAACACCAACACAAAATTTCTTTTCGATTAGCTTCGATTGCGTCTTTTTCTGCATCGCACGCATTTTGATATAGACAGATAATATCTTGGGTCTCTGAGTCTCGTGTTATTCTGGAATTGTCACAATTTGGACGAACATTGTTCTCTGAAATTTTGATCGTATGATTTATTTCAGGAGAAATGATACTTTGTGCTTGTTCCTTGATAGATGTTGATATTTCTTGTATTAAATCTTGCTCACGTGAAATATTAGGTGTATTATTCTCAGGAGTTGAGGGTGTCTCTTGTTCCCGGAGTTTCTTTTCCACAATTCTCTCCATTATCTCTTTACTAATCTGTTCCTTATACCGCAAATTCATAAATTCATTTTCTTCCTTCTCCTCCAATGATATAGTTTTTGCAGGAATGGGAGACGTGGGGGTTAACGAATCCTGGTATGTATCAGAATTGCCGGAGGCAGTCACTTCATCGCTAGATGTGTTATCAGATATATTAGATGTGGGGATATTATCCTCTAACGATTTGGAACTAGTACCAGCAGGGCTTATAACAGGGTTGGGTATATTGACATTACTTTCTCTTTGAGAGAGGACTATCTGTTCAGGGATGTACCTATTACCATTTTGCGAGCTCTGCTCCTTAATTAGCGAGACATCATGTTTCAGTTTAGCAATAAGGTCAGTTTTTTCTCTATCTCTCCGCTCTAAATTCAAGAATCTGGCTTCAACTTCTTCTTTGTCTTGTTTTAATTTTGTATTCTCGGATTCAAGATCGGCATACTTCTTTCTAAGTTCGCTAATCTCGAATGTAAGCTTGGTATTTAATTCTCTTAGCGAAATAATTGTAGATTGTGTATCTGTCATTGTTTTATATAGGGTGCGAATATATTCAATTCTTTATCGTAAAGATTTAAATTCATGTAACAAAAATCGCTGGATTAAATACAATAAGTAAAAATGCCAAGAAATTTCAGCGAACAATGTTCGTCAAAAAAA